GGCAGAGGGAGAAGCAGGCTCCATGCAGGGAGCCCAATGCAGGACTCGATCCCGGGACCCCGGGGTCACGCCCTAGGCCTAAGACAGGTGCTCAACCGCTGAGCCCCCCGGGCTGCCCTGATCCAAGCTTTTCCATGCGGAGAGAAGTTTTGACTTATTATGACAGTCCTTTTATTTCACGTGTTTTAAAGCTCACCTTTACCTCCCGGTTCTCCAGGGTAAGGAAGGGCTTTCCGTCTTACCATTCAAGTTAACATTTTTCTATCAGAGCTCATTTAAGGTTCCCCAGCAATGTGGAGTTGAAGGGAGACACCGTGATAAGCACACAGAACAACACGGGTTGGCTGCAGTAGCGGGAAAAAAAAAAAAAAAAAGAACTAGGTGGCATGGAAAGGAAAATGAAAAAAGAAAAAAAGCGTTTTTAAGTGCTGGAGCAAAAACACATAGCTACGTCTTGGAGTGTGTCTGCAGCAGCAGTTGATCATGCTTCTCTTCGAAGCCTGTTGTAGGTGCACTTACAACAGTGGCTTGAAAAGTAAACCAGCAAGGGACCCGCTGTGTGGACACAGCAGCAGACCAGGGAGGAGCCGCCCCGGGACCGGGGCAGGGACCAGGGGCCAGGGCAGGGCAGGGCTCCTGCGGAGAGCAGGCCCCAGCACCTTAGTTTGCAGGTCTCCTTCAGGTCAGCCGCGGGGAGGCCTTTGGTGGCACAGAGATGCCTTTCTACAGCGTCGTATCATTCAGCTGGTGGATTACAAAGAACCCCTAAATTAGGGGCCAAGACAGCATCCACAGTGCCCGTGGGGGTAGCGTGGCTGGGTCCTCGGGGCCCCACAGGGTGACGGCCCTTTAAAGACTGAGCTGAGGATTCACCTTCTAGCTCACTCACCGGATGCTTGGCCGGGTCAGCTCCTTGCTCGCTCGGCTGCAAGCCTCCCCGGGCTCCTTGCCGCTGGCCCCCACGGTGACGATCTCGTGCCGTGGCACTTGCTCCCTGAGCAGGAGAAGGAGGCCGACCTTTTGCAGCAGCAGCAGCAGCAGCAGCAGCAGCAGCACAGAAGTGACATCCTTTCACATTATTTGTATTCTGCTCATCAGAAGCAAAAAACCAGGTCCAGCCCCTCCCAGGTGAGCGAGGAGGGTCATGGGAGCCGGGCCAGAGGCCACCTGTCAAAAGCAGGATGCCATCATGCTCTCGCCACGCCAGCTGACAAGCCTGTAGCGAGTAGGGACGCGGGGATGGCGTCTATCTCCCACGCCCAGCACAGCTTGTGGAGGTGCTGACTTGGGGGGCCTGAATGTGCTCCTTCTGATGTAGCAGCAGACTGGCTGGTAAGCGCTGAGCTGAGCCTACCTGGCGCCCAGGGGACCGAGGAAACAGGTTCTCAGGAAAGGCTGCAGTCGGGGGGGCGCCCGAGGTCATGGGGCGGAGTGAAGATGAGCAGCCCTCGGGGCCTTATTAGCTGAACACGGGGGACCAGGGGGCCCTCAGGTTGCGTTTCATTAAGTGTTGTGAGGTTCTCATTGGCACTTTGCACATCATTAGGGGGAGGGGACCCTGTGGTTTGATTTATCAAGTTGCTATTAAGGTCACAGAATGGGAGGTTGTCCTTGTGTTAATGGTCCCATAGCCCTCCTCCCAGCTTCCGGACTCCAAATGTACATTTTTCAGCAGAAAAAAAAATTACTAAGGGGCTGTGGATTTGGACTATGACACACAACGTTTGAGACAGGAGTTGCAATTCACCTGTTACCTGGACAGATCTGGTGGAAAATCCCCGTGTGCTTATGGGAAGAGTTCCGAGTCTAGGGTTTCTTCCCCTGTTGCATAAATGCTGCTTCTTGGTTGTGCAAGCTCCAACGTGGGGACTTAGGGAGGAGATGTTCTCCTTCTGTTGTCCCAGTTGTTGTTGAATTGGCTTCTGCGGGCTCCAGAAAGCCTGGATAATACTCCCTTGGAGGCGCACGTCTGCGCCAGCCCCCCTCCCTCCAAGCTAAGGCCATGCCCAGGGCCCTGCTGGCAATTCCTGCAGACCTCGGTTCTCGCACCCACCCCCCTGCGGCTCACAGTCACGGCCCCAGGTGCACGGCACAAGGACGGGAGCAGGGTGCCCTACACACCTTTCTACCTCGTACCCAACAGGGAAGCCAGCGCACAGGAAGAATTTTAAAGCATTTGAACGGGGGTGCAGGGCTCAGCGGTTGAGCCTCTGCCTTGGGCTCAGCTTGTGCCCCCGGGGTCCTGAGATCGAGTCCCACGTCGGGCTCCCTACCGGGAGCCTGCTTCTCCCTCTGCCTGTGTCTCTGCCTCTCTCTCTGTGTGTGTCTCTCGTGAATAAATAAAATATTTTAAAAATCAGAAAAAAACAATGCATTTGAATGGATGGATGAAGTGGTCGGTAATTATTGCCAGTTGTCAAATGTTGCCTACTGATTTTCTAAGGAAAACAGCATAAGAAGTGGTAAGAGGGGCTTTAACTAGTCGTGTTGGCCGCTGTGCCCTGGTGGGGCTCTCGGATCAGTGACTCAGGTGACCTGCCCTCCCGGGACAAGCCAGGCCCACGGTCATGTCCGCTGCCTCGGGTCCCCTCTGCAGTGCGGCTCTTTTTTGCTCAGAACCGCTCCCGGGAGGACTTTCTTTGCAGCTTCCCTGCTGTGACCGTTCGGTCCTTCTATTCCTCTGCTCCTTGCCGTTCGCGGCGCTCGGGCCAGTGCCGTTTGGGGTACTTGTGACGGGCAAAGCACTTCTCGGGTGAACTTCTGTCTCCCGGTCCTAAGAAGTGTCTCGGTCCACAGTAGAAGGGCGTCGGTCCCCGCCTGTGTCACCCAGCGGGCCTGGGGTTCAGGAACAGGGACATGACACGGAATAAAGCCGGACTCTCTTAACCTTTTCAAATCTTACCTGAGAAGTTCTGACGCTTTCCGGTTTGTGTTGGTCAGTGTGAGAAACGGGGGGACGCGGTCGGCCGGGCCCGGCGCCCCTCGCGCAGGCTGCCTGCCGTCGGGTTGAGAGCAGCCCTGAGCGCAGCGCCTTTGCTGTCACCTGCGCGGGGCGCTCAGCACTACGTATCGTTATTCTTTGCTCCTCGGTTTTCCTGAGGGTGAGGGGGGCTGAGAGGCTGCAAGGTGACGGGGGTCGCCCTTGGGCTCCGGCTTTCCTGGTGGTAGGAGAGGGGAGTGATGAGGTTAGGGAAGGGCCTTTCACTTAAGGACACTGTATGTCCCTGTACATTTCTGTCTTACGATCTGAGTTCACAGAGGACCGTGTGTAGGGCCGCCCCTCGGCCTGGGCGGGGAGCTGCTGCACTTGTCCCAGGGTCGCCGCTCCGTGTCCCCACTGCACGAGCTGCAGGAGCAGTCCAGGACCCCGCGACGCCCCCACTCACACACCTGAACACCTGCTGCCGCCCGAGCCTCTCACGGCCCGGGCTCCGGGGGCTCGGCCGAGCACCCCAGCAGTGGACGGCAGGGTGAGCGTGCACGGGGCGCCTTTGCACACTGCCGCCCATGAAGCTCGGCCAGGGGGCGAGCTTGGGGACCCCGGCTTTTCTGATGAACCGCAGTCACCTACGTGTCCCGTGTTTGCGACGTGCGCGTTGGCCATCGGGGTCCAGGGGAGGGCGCCACTTGCCTGGTCAAGCCACAGGGTGAGCACGTTGTGCCCGAAGTCACACGCTGGTCACTGTAAGTGCCCGCGGATGGGGGTTCTCACAAGAGCCCCCAGCAGAGCCAGCTGTAGCCCACCCCGATGGCTCGGCAGCGGGGAGGGTGCCCGAATCCTCCCTCCCGCCACTTTGGTCTTGGACTCGAGGCCTCAGCAGGTGTCAGGGAGCCACACTAGGGTCCCCCGGGGGGGTGACCCCATGCACCCTCCAGCACCAGCTCCCAGACTCCCCGGACTGGATTCCCCTAAAGCTAGGGGAGCGTGCAGCTTGAGGCACAAGCATGTCCGTGTTCTGGGCCCCATGAGGCGTATGACAGGTAACCCTAAAGGACAGCGGTCCTGTGTCTGTCGCCGAGGACCTCCTGACGCCCTGGAAGCCGCCCGAGTTCTCACTGCTGTCCGGCTGCACCTTCTGGAGCAGACGTCGGGGGCCCAAGGGTGCAGCCCCCCCTTGCCACCCTTCTTGTCATTTTTCTAAAATGCACCAGGAGACGGGTTGAGACCGTGGGGGTGTCACGGGCCTGGGGGAGACCGTCTTCCCAAACGCAGAGGGAAGGTTCACCGTCTTGCCCTCTGCAGGAGAAGAGTTTCTTCCTCGAATGAATTCTAACTTGAAGCACGTTGTGTTTTCGAAAGCCCTCCTTGTCACTTACATCCTCGGCTGTGGCACATTTTTTAAGAACAAATGGCCCGTTGCCCCGCGGTGCCTTCTCAATGGCATATTGTCCTCCAGCAGCCTGCTGGACGGCACTGGGCTCGGTTTAGGCATCGAGGCCGCGGAGCCAAGCTCTGAGGAAAACCTCTAATTGAATTACCTGCAAAGCACTGACAGACGGGCTTTCAGGACGGACAAAGCTCTGCTTTCCCCCAGCAAAAATAGGTCATGTTTAAGTTGGCCTTGCAACTATTTGTTACTGGTTTTTGCCAGCACTTTCACCTTGGGCCCCTTTTCCTGCAGGAGACTGGGGGGAGGGGGAGGCGCGGTGAGCAGCTCCAGGACAGCCGGAGGCCTCAAGCATTATCTTCTTATTTTGAGAAAATTGATAACAGATCAAGTTAAATGGAAGAGCCTTTGAAATAAAAATCCCAAGTATTTGTCTGTAGATCAGCGGCATTCTTGCGTGCGTCTCTACTGTACTGAAAAGACAGGGCCCCGGAGTAGCTCTTTCTAGCAGGCCCTTGGCCATCTGAAAAGTGGTTTTGTTTCGACTTCTGGGAGAAATTAGAGGGCGCCCCTGTTGTTGGGGGGGGGCATGGCATGTAGACCATTTGCATTTGAAAATGAAGAATAATCTGTTGTTGCTCTCTCCTCTCTTTCTCTCTTGTCTCCCCGCAGCCTCTGCAATCCCAGATAATGGCAGAAGGTCCTGTCTAAAGCTCAAAGTCTTTGTGAGACCGACAAGTAAGTTGACCAGAATGAGCTTCAGAGGGTGGCTTCATTGCGCATGCTTTCTTTGTGGTCTGGTTTCACCGCGGTACGACTTTTTTTTTCTTTTTTTTTTTTAACTGTTAAATCCTGTGTGTGGTATCCGTTTTGTATATCGGCATCCGTGGTTTAGTTTTTCACCATGTTTTTTTTTTCCCCATCATCCTTCGTGATGCTTTTATTTTTGAAGTACACAGCAGTTGCTAACTTGTTGTTTCTTAGACTGTTGTACGTGCACAGCAAATGGGAACAATATTGGCATGTCGGATACATGCCATTGATTGTAAAAACAGTCTCTACATAAATTAAAGGAGAAAATAGAGAGAAAGAAAAAAAAGAAATGGGAGTTTAAGGGCGTCTTCACTAACATATTTGGCTGTTATCTCTATTTTTGTTATAGATAGCTGTATGAAAACTATAGGTGTTCATGATCGTGTTTTCGATGTTAACGACAAAGTAGAAAATTCATTAGAACCAGCAGGTTAGTATGCTTAGAGACTCTCTTTTAACAAATGCATCTCTCTCTGGTGCTTCCGTACTTTTTTTCCTTTCTTCTTCTCCGCATGTTTGCATGGTATAGTTGCTCTGCTTTTGCTCATTGCTAGCAATGCTAATATTACTTATACTCTACCTCATTCCTCCAGTATCTTTGTCTAATGCATGTTAGATAAAATATGACCTTTCTTTTTTTGGACGTGGGTTTGATATAATACAGTATCCTAATATAGAAGCCCCAGCAGAATGCTAAAAATCTCACTGCTTTTTACCATACCCTCCGAGCATGCCAGTGCATCACCGTGAATAGTGATGGATCTGTTTTTCCTAGAAGACAGGAAAAAAAAAATCTATCGTATGCGCTTAAAAAAAAAATTTTTTTTTAATGTTCCATCCAAATTCTGTGGATAAAAAGAATTAGGACCATCGCCCCAAACAGCAGCTAGCTCCACATACGTGATTTTCCCCATTCTCATGCATCCTTGCGCTGACCTAAAGACCTTTATTACATCCCAGATATTATGCGTGCTGCTGGTATCAGGAGAAGTGTGATCACGTTGCCCAACGCCACCAATTCGCACATTTGTTACTCCCACGTGCGTAGCGGCAGTCTGTCTGGCCAAGTGTGATCCTTGAGTGCTGAGGCAAAATAAGTATTGAGGATGAAGTGTTTGCTGCCCTCCACGCACCCCGAACCTTCCCGTCGCTGAACACACATTACGACCCACACAAGCGCTCCTCGTTTACACTCTAGGGACTGTGGATGAGGCGGCCCTGTGTACCACGCACTTGGGGCACAGACTCACCTCGACTGGTCCCGAGGGATGGGAGGTCCCCATCCCGCGCCCTGAGCACTGTGCCGTGATGCCCCTTTCCCCCTCCTTCCTGAGCTTTCCTCTTTTGGCCCTACCTGCTTGAGATCTTGATCGGTTTCCTTCCCCGACTCCCGCTACCATCTCCAAGCTTAAGGGAATTAAAATTATCTCTTCGTCACAGAAAGATGTGAGCCCTACCCCCCTCCCACCTATGTGAACAGAATCCTTTTTATTTTCCCCCATGGATCTGTAGTAGTACTTCTCTTTTTTTATGGTCCTAGAAATTAAAGGGTTGTGAAGTCCACTTTATCTTTTGGGTGTTGCTGCTAGGACACAGTCGGTGAGCCTTAGGGAAACTTACCCTGAGTAGGTGCGGAGCCCCAGGACGGATGTACAGGAGCTTTCACATTGCAAGTGACAGGAAGGGTTAGGGTTTCCCCCCCAAGCATTCTGTTTTTTTTCTAAGGTCGGTGTCCTACAATAAAGCTCTGAGAGGGGATGCCTGGGTAGCCCAGCGGTTGAGCATCTGCCTTTGGCCCAGGCCCTGAGCCCAGGGTCTGTGATGGAGTCCCACGTCGGGCTCCTTGTGGGGAGCCTGCTTCTACCTCTGCCTGTGTCTCTGCCTCTCATGAAAAATAAATAAAATCTTTTAAAAAAAAAAACAATAAAAATCTGAGAGGCCTTGGCTCCCCAGGGGTCAGTTAGCTGCTTTGGAAAGTTGCAAGGAATGAGTGCTTGATGTGGAGATGTTTTCATTGTGTCCTGGAAATCGGGGAGCATTACTGTGGCTTTTCAAGGTCCCAGGCTCCTCCCAAGCTTGAGGATTTGGTCCATCCTAGGATCTGTGAGCCCCGGATGGGCTCTCTGCTGAGGACCACGGGGTCTACGCTCTCCCCCTTGGGAACGGAGGCTTGCCTGGGGCCACATCACTAGTTAGAGACTGATCCAGGTTTGACAGTGAAATGTTTCAACTGCCGATCCAACATGAGTAGAAAAAGTTGGCTTCTCTTACCGTCAGCGACACGTAGATCCTCATGAAGAGAACTTGACTTTATTGGATTTGTTAATAAGTCACGTGTGGAATGACAGACAGAGTGAAGCATGTCGTAGATGTAAGTCATCCCAAAATAGGATTTTTTGGTGCACGTTGTGGTAGGAGGTAGGCATATCTTTCAAAAAAAAAATCTTTTTTCCAGATAAATTCCGCTGCCTATCAAGAAAGCGAGAGGCTGTTTAGAGACAACAGACTGCAGGTTTTTCTCTGGTCATCAAGGGAGAGACCCTGACGACTATTCTGGCCTTAGGAAAATTACCTTTGAATTCAACTCATGACAGAGTGCAAGCGATTAAGATGCATCCATACGTGAACATATTTCACTGTCCTGGGGAAATAGGCTCTTTTTCACTGAGCATTTAAAATCCGCCATGGTTCCCAAATCGACACACGTAGAACTGATGGAAGTTTGCAGGGACATCTGATGGAACATGGTGTGTGTGTGTGTGTGCGTGTGTGTGTGTGTGTGTGTGTGTGTGTGTGTGTGTCGGGGAGTGGAAATGCAGGTGCCCCTGCATAGTCCAGTCAGGTCCAGACTGTATCTAAGGGCTTTCGTGGGAGCATCCGCACTAATAAAAGTAAGCCAGGCCTGAGCTAGCATCCCTGGCTGCAGGAATCCAAGAATAAATCCAAGTCCCTGGTCTTCCGTGTGACAAACTTGAGGCCGACTTAGGGCTCTGCACCAGCACAGTGGGTGGCTGAGTGTGCACCAGACTTGACGAATCCGGGAGGCCCGAGAGGACCCCACTGCATGTTCTCGGCGATGTGTACTAACTCACCTGTCTTTGGAATGCGTCTGTTTCGTTTGCCTGCATACTCTGCCTGCCAGCTTCCTAGCATCAGGGCCACAGGATGACACCAGGGCAGACATACGCCGCACAACGTGCCCCCCGCACATGGCTGGTGCTCTCCCTCTGAACCACTGAAAGCCTCATACTGCGGGATCCTGGAGGCAGGCGGCAAGGCTCGATGTGGTCTCTGAGGAGGAGTGTTTCCTTCTCTCGAGCCACGCGTACCATCGTGAGTGTTAGAAATTGTCTGATGGTCAGAGGTCATTTCCACTGGGCTAGGTTTTGCATATGAACTCTTCCCGGGGAATTCTGAAATTGCTCAGGTGTGCCTTAAAAGGACACCGAAGGCTCATTTTTGCTTCTCAGGGGCCACGGAATCTTCCAGCACTCAGGCCCTGTTATAGTCAAAGGATGCTCTGTAGGATCCTGAGCCTGGCGCGGTTCGGAAAGCGGAGGAGAACTGTGTTGCTCCTAATGGGACAGATCTCCCCCCTCCCCCCCGCCCACTTTGAAGGCAAGACGGTACTTACTGGGTCGGGTGCTTAGGGGAGGGTTCCCCGTCCCTCGTCCACGAGCAGAACACTGAGAAGTACGTGGAACCTCATGCTTTACTTGTATGAGAAACAAAAGCTGGGATGCTTGAGGGGTGCTCAGCAGTTGGACAGCTGACTTTTGGCCCAGGGCGTGATCCTGGAGTCCTGGGATCAAGTCCTGCATTGGGCTCCTGCATGGAGCCTGCTTCTCCCTCTGCCTGTGTTTCTGCCTCTCTCTCTCTCTCTCTCTCTCTCTCTCTCTCTCTCTCTCTGTCTCTCATGAATAAATAAATCTATAAATCTTTAAAAAAAAACAAAAGCTTTCCTTCTCTCGGTGCCCCCCAAAGTCACTGCCCCCGTCTTGTGCCGCCTGGAATGATGGCTAGCCCTTTGCTGAGCACCCTGGAAGGACGGGGCCGGGGGCAGGGGACAGATCTCCTTCCAGTTCACACTGGGTGTGTGGTTATTGGCGCCAGATCTCTCTCAGTACACATCCAAACTTTCCAAGGAAGGGGAGTGGGTGATTTGGTAGTAAAATTAAGAGGGAGGAGAACCCAAGAGCCGCTGGAAATTCAGGTGTATAAATATAACGGTTTTTTCAGAATGAAATCTGGAAGCCTCGGGGTTCATGGTTTTTATGAATTAAACCTGAAGTCCTCTCCTACTCTGAGTGACACCATACTGATGCTCTCAAGGTGATTTGGATCTGAATTGCAGGGCTGTTCGGGGCATGATCTCTGAGTCCTGGTAACTCCAGATTTGATATATTTACGAGGCTGAAGAAGATCAGAGAGGAGTCCACAAGTAGTAGGCACCATGTGGGGCTTTCTGCGTTGTCCTCTGCGTCCGTCTAACGTCACCTTGTCGCTTCCTGACCTCCCCTAGGAAAAGTCGCCCTAGGGAAAAGGGCGACTCGGGGGCAGGAGCTCACCCTGGAGCAGAGGGCCCCGCTCACGCTGCGGGTGGGTGGGGTGAGCAGAACCCGCCTGCCTGTGCCCACCTGAGGCAGGGGCTGGGCCCCGGCCCCGGGGAGTGGTCACTTTGGGGCAGAGAATAGGGAGCGTGAGGACGTGCAGTGAGAAAGCAAGCATCCTCACTGTGACATGTGGCGTGAAGCTAGCAATGAGCTTGGACTCGGGGGTCCAGGCCGGGGCTCCTCGTGGGCCTTGCAGGCCTTGTCGGGGTGCTCCGACTGTTGGGGTCCAGGAGATGGAGAAGCCTCCCTGGAGGCTCACTCGTGTCCACCCGGACTGACCGCTGAGTGAATATAAGACGGGCTCTGAGCTTTGACAGGAAGGGCCCCCCCCGTGCTGACATGACGTCCTCCAGTGAACCCCCCGCCCTTGGCCCCATGAGCGCGCGTGGTTGGAAAGCATTAAGCTGGGGGAAGGGAGCAGACGGGCGGCAGCCCCCGGTCCGTGTTGCCCAGGTCAGCCGGCCGGCCACGCGGACCCTGAAGGCCGGCAAAGTCAGGCAGCCCGTGGGACCCTCCGTAGTGTCTCAGAGACATAAAGGCAGTTTACACCTCACTTAATCCCGTTGCGTGTAGAGGAGAATTTGCAATCACACCGATAATTTATGTGCCAAGCTTCAGCCCGATAAAAATAGAGATAGTCAAGTTCAAGGAACTGAGCCCTGGAGGTCCCAGGGCCCCAAACAGAAGTAGGGCCATCGCGGGTCCCCAGTCGTAGGCAAACTAGCAGGCACCGCTTGGTGGGCTTGGTGGGCATTATGTACAGTTCCTCGAAAATGCAGTTTGGGCAAGAAAAATGTGTTAGATACATAAAATGTGGTCTCGGCATTTAATTTTTCTTATCTGGACATGCACGCAGGTAACCAGCCACCAGGCCTCTGACACTAACCCTAGGGAACAGCTGAGAGAGGGGACCGGGCAGCCCGTCCTCCACTAATGTGCCATCTAACTACCCCCCCCCCCGCACCCCCAAATCCCACTTGCTTCTTGGGCAGAAGAGGAACGGTGGGCTCGCTTTTGGCTCTGGGTGAGCGTGTGCTCTGGCAAAGCCAAGCCAGCCGTGTACCCCAGGTGACAGGACGTGGACAGCCTCGTCCCCTCGGCCTCCTGGGGGACTGACCTCAGCAGCTCTGTACAGGCCCACTCTTCTCGCTCTTCCCTTGTCTGCTGCAAATTCCGAGCGACGGCGTGGACCCGAGGGCCGCCGGTGGCCTGACCAGGCCCTGCCCGGCCGCAGAGGGCGGCTGCGGGAGGGCCCGCGGGCCGTGGGTCTCACCGGGCCCTGTGCTTTGTGCCCCACAGATGACACCGTGCACGAGTCTGCCGAGCCGTCCCGCGGGGAGAACGCGGCCCAGACGCCGAGGATCCCCAGCCGCCTCCTGGCCGTCCTCCTCTTCCTCCTGGCCGCGCTCTTGACCTTATAGCACCGCCGCTGCCACCTGAGCAGCAGGGCCTTGGACACCGGAGACCCACCTGACTGCTCATCCTAAGAAGGGACTGGTTATTGGGTTTGGGGTTTTGGTTTTTTTTTTTTTTTTTTTTTTTTTTTTTTGGGGCAGATGTCAGATTTTTGTTTTCTTTCTTTCACCTGAATTCTAAGCGACAACTGGGGGCCAGCAGGGGCTCAAGTGGTTGCTGCTCCCCCCCCCCCCCGCCCTGCCCTCTCCCATCCCTTCCAAATTAAATGGACTCCAGATGAAAATGCCAAATTGTCATAGTGACAGCAGCGGTCGTCAGCTCGTGTGCACTCTCCCCTAAGAGCCCCGGCGACAGGCCCGCGGCGAGGAGCAGTGGTGGCAGGTGCGGCCAGCACAGGCCAGGCCCGGGGCTGCTCTCCCCGCGGTCCACAGCCTTCTCCTCCAGGACCGGGGGACGGTCGTGCGGGGCTCGGGTCACCAGGTCGAGTCCGGGGGGTTCAGACGAGACCCGAGATCACACCCTTTCCTCTAGGAGTAGGACAACGAACAGGCTTCTCCGAGGTTGAGACACTGGGCTTCTTGTTTTTTGGGTTTTTTTTTTTTTTTTTTTTTTTTTGTTCTTGGGGGGGTTGTTTTGTTTTTTACGATGACTGTCTTAAAGCATTCTTGACAGCAAAACTTGTGCTCCGTGAAAGAAGCCTTTTTTTTTTTTTCCCCCTTTTCTAGAAAGCAGGTCGGGTGCGGGAATGCTAGCACAGAGCAAGGGTGAAAACAGAGACAACTAGGTTTGGTGGGGGTGTGTACGTGTGAGTGCCTCTTTTTTTTTTTTTTTTTTTTTGGTGACTGGGCAATGCACAGCAGATTTTTTTTTTCCTTTAAATACAGATCACCATGGTGCTACAATCTTTTTTTTTTTTTAAGAAACTCAAAAGAGGCATTTTTATGAATAAAGTGACCTTCCCCAAGGCTGACAAGCCAGGGTTGATGAGTGTATAATGGAATAGCTTTGGATGCTCCTCTGGGGGACCATATGTACCGAGGAGAGGAGGTCAGCGGCCAGAGGAGATGTGATGTGGCTTTGCTGGAGCGCCAGTGTGCTGTGGCCTTTCCCCGACTCCCACCCTAGCACCCACGTTTTGCTCCACACTCCACAGCTACAGGGGCTCGGACACGCGCCCCTGCTACCAGGAGAGTCAGTCAGCACTACTTGGGAGGGCTAAAGGGAAATTTGGAATAAAAAATTCCAAAGTTTGGAATAAAAAAAAAAAGTTCCAAGTGTTGATTTTATATTATTTCCCTTCCTGACACAGCCTGAAGCGTAGGGGGAACATGTGTTTATCTGTGGGAGATAAACAAGATGGAGTCCCAAAGACTTTGACAAAATATTTTTTTAAAGATCCACTAGAATAGAAAATACATTATTTAGATATACTTTATGCTGAGAGTGAGTATATATGCTTGTCCTATTTAAACTTGTGAGAAAAAAAAAAGTGGTATCCCTTGATACATTTAGAGACCTAGGGGGCTATCATGTTTCGTTGTGGGGTGGGGCGGAAGGAGCGTAGACGCAGGGTGACCCTGGTTGAGGAGTCCTGGCCCGGCCGACGGGGGCCGTTTCCAGCGGCCGAGCCGTGGGGGCTACTGCTGGTGAGGCTGCCACAAGCTCTGAACTCCAAGGCCTAGGCAGGAGAAGTGTCGGACCAACGGAAAGCAGCCTAGCCTTTTTACTGTTGCACGACACGTCACTAGGAACCATGCCTTTCAAAACCGAACAAAAGAAACCAATAAATAAATGCAATGATGATGTAATATATGAGAAAATTGGAAGCATTCCAGCAAAATGAGGCTTTTTTAAAATATATATATGTGTGTGTGTTTCTTAAAATGTCTATATGAAAAAGGAGAGGGGTCAGATGGTGGATAAACTTCATGAATGGGAATTTGCTACGAATTGTGAGTAGTTCTGAATTAGGGGAGAAAAAAAAAAAGCAAAACAAACCTGTGTGAATGAAAGGCAGCTGTAAAGGTCCTTGCACCCTGGAGAGCTGTACACATGTTGAAATGTAATCTGGGCTTACCTGATTCCTTGGGAATGGATGTTACCGCTGGGTCTGTTCACACTTGGAACCGTGGGAGTGGGCTTGCCGGCCGCTCGGCCACCCCCGACACCGGGAACTTCTCTGGAGTGGCACAGTCTTGTCACAGAAGGCAGCCACCATTTCACGGGAACAAAAGTTCACAGCATTGGATTCTTTTTTTTTTTTTTTCCCTTTAACTCTGTGCTCAGTACTCTCAGTGATATCCAGTAATACTTTTTTTTTTTAATTAATAGTTACAGGCTTGTTGGTCCAGTGGGATTTGAGGGGGGGGGGGAGGGTGCCTCCCCAAAATGGATCAATAGTCGGAACCAAAATAATACTGCATGTTCTAGAACCACAAGGAAATCAAACGATCCTATAAGGATTCCAGTTAGTCATAACTACATTAGCAGTGCTGATTTCATTTTTAGAAATGGTGACTTCTGTGGTTTGGTAGCATTTGTCTCTAACAAATGATAAAGTAATCACTCATGGCCCTCTCTGCCACTGTCTTTCATTTTTCACGGTGAAATTAGACGTTCCCCCCCCCTTTACTTCATTATGCCACTACAAATTAAGTTCAAAAAAAAAAAAAAAAAAACACAAGACTATCCACCCCAGTAGACAGTGTGCTTCTCTACCGTTAAGTGATAATAATCGTAGGTAACGCTTGCCACGGAGTTTCCAAGACCATGATCGGTATATCAGACGGTTTTCATCTTGTCCAGAAAGTGCTGGTGGCCTTTTATGGTGGTGTTACAACCCTCTGGGGGCTTAGGAGGATGTCGATGCAATTTTGTAGCAGCTTTTAATTTAAAAACACAACTCAAAAAAGTCTGAAGGGGCCGCCTTAGCTGCCTCTCAGCCCCAGTAAAGTCAAACCCCAGCGACCTTTGCCCCCGGTTGCCAAGGGCTTTGCAACATGAAGCAGGGAAATAAGGATCTGTCTGTTTAGTGGATACCGTGTATCCTTTAATAGACCAGGTAACAGTTCGTGTTAGTTTAGACTATTGTTTTTGTACTGTACTTTCTTGGGTGGCAGAGGAAAGAAAACATTTAAAAAAACAAAAAAAAAAAACAAAAACAAAAAAACAAAAAACAAAAAAACTGCGTTCCTTAAATTCTGTATTATTAGCAACCTCTGTTGTATATAGTGTTTGATAATAAAGTATTAATTTGATTCTTATGTCTTTTGTAAGTGAGAACAATGGTCTTTCAGGATCCAAAACATGCATCGAGGCTTTGAAACATCCGCTGTGTGGGTAGCTGAGAAGAGTCACAGGTGGCTGAGACGCTGCTCCATCCAGGACTCACGTGCGGTCTCCGCCCTCCCGGCCCTAAGACTCCACCATCTTGGGAGCTGGAACAACATGACTTTTTTGATCCATATTTTATCCTCAATGTTTTCCAAGGTCCCAAATGTTGGAGCCCTGTGGTGGTTTTTCTCCCCCCCCCCCCCCCCACGTGTTGGTTTCAAAAGGCCTAGGGAACTCCCCACCAGTCCTGTACTTTGGTTTTCTGTTTGTGGTGGTTTCCATAGACTGGTTCATTTGTCCTCAGGAGGAGTGGCCCAAGCACGGGAAGGGTTTCAAGCCCCCCCCCCCATTTAGGCAGGTTACGTGGGGGCTGCTTCCCTCTGCCATTGTGAAAGGAAGAGGCGCTCGGTACCTGGGGATTTTCAGGGACTTTGTTTTTCTCTGGTGCCTTAGCAACGGCAGCAGCCATTCTTAGCAGTTTACCCCAAAATTAATGAAACCATTTAAACCCCCCTCCATTCATTGCTCTCAGAGCTGTGGCCAGTTGTTTTTCTTTTGAAAACCACCTTCACCGGCACCCTCCGTTTGCCTACCACCAACCCCCTTTTTATTTCTTATGTTTATATTTTTGTCTCTTGCCTTCCTCCCACGTTTTATTTTTTTCGTCAGAACCGTGAATGGGCAGGTCTGTCTCTGGTTTGGCATCACTGAGTTTTTTCCATGCATTTGCCCAAGAGCCGCTCAGACGTGAGACAAATCTCCCTGCAATGGGCTTGCTCCCATTGTCTGTACAGTTTAATAGATGCTGGCATGTTGGAGGTTACCCATGAGTCAAAAATCCGCTTTCCATGCTTACTCTTGACACCCCATTGAAGCCACTCATTGTGTGTGCGTCTGGGTGTGAAGTCCAGCTCCGTGTGGTCCTGTGCTTGTACTGCCCTGCTTTGCAGTTCCTTTGCACTTACTCATCGAGTGCTGTTTTGAAATGCTGACATTATATAAACGTTAAAAAAAAATGTAAGAAAAAAAACCCACACACAAACCAACCCATACAATCTGTATTTGTATATACACGTGTCCGTACAAGTATACCTGAATAAAAATTAAAGATTTTCATCATTTTAATTGGAGCCCTCCTTCTACTTCTTTGTTCCTTGCATGACGCCTTTATTTCAGGGGCTACTTAACACTCTGTTGATTTTTCAAAAACTTTGTGGATTAAAACAAACAAAAAAAAACCTTTGTGGATAGAAAAAATATACATACGAGAGAAGGCCTAAGAAGCTCAAAGAACGCAGGGTTAGCAAATGGCCCAGTTATCTAGGCACCTTCCAGTTATTCTGATGAGGAAATCTTGAGATTCAAGCCTCGTCTCTGTATTTGGGCCTTAAAGCAGGCCCTGCCTCTAAAACCACTGAAATATGAGAGCTAAGTGCAAAATTATGTTCTTTCACTTTGTGTAGCTTTCCACCCTATCAAGATAAAGACAAAATAAACATTTTCCCCACAAATACCCCATACCTCAGAGAGAAATAATGACAGTAATAACCACCACTTCAGTACAGCACTGAAGCGCAGTGCTCACTATCAGGGAAGACTTACACTTACCAGTGTGTAACCTTGGGCAAGTCATACAGTATCTTTGGGACTCTGTTTCCTTACCACTAAGTAGTAGAGTCAGAGAAATGATTTGGTTTTCTAAGTATTGCCCTTGCTGGGCACCGCAAAGCCCATTTGGCATCTGAGTCATGCGAGAGTCTGTCTCTGATGATGACATTACTATAAGCACAATCTGAAAATCTCATCTATGGGGGGGGTAGCATCAAATATCTGACATAATAGACACCTAATGCATTTCAAGACGTGGCGTTAATTACACCATGTTAACATTAAA